TATGGTTATTATAAAAATATGAAAATATATTGTTTTTATTTATTCGAACCCTTTGCTGAATAACTCGTTTCACTATTATAAAAATATTTACATCCTTATATGTGAAAATTATGCATCAACAACGAATAATTATTTTTAAAGTTATTTAATCCTGGTGAACTATTATTTCTTTGTTCTACTAAATTGCATAAAAAAATTTTACTATCAATAAAATTGAACAGTAAATAATTTCAGTCAAAAACTGCTTTTAATCACTCTAAATTTTCTGTTAAAATTTTTTGTTCGAATTACAGAATATTCGAGCAAAAAATTTTTTTAAAACCGGTTTTCTGGAAAAATTACTATTCAAAAACCGGTTTTCTAAAATGTCGGTTTTTGTATAGTCGGAGGGTAAGGTTAAAAACTTGTTCTTAGTTTGTGTTTGTACAGTAAACTGTTCTGTTTATAATAGATTAGGACTAATAGGGGTTGGTTATCTGTCTAACCAAACATAGTCACAGTAACAGGATAGTTATTTGCGTTTCTAGACGTATAATTATTTAATAAAGGCGTCTAGGTAAGGTATCAGGTAATAAATGCAGTAGAAATAAGAAGATACCAAATTGAAATAAGAAGGAGACTTTTAGTCCTTTTGAGTTCATGTTTGAAATTTGTTTTGTGAATGTTGATTTCTACTTCATGTTCTATTCTCCACCTACACTGTTTTTTGAAGTAAATTAGGGAAAAAGTGCCTGTTAGTACTGTTAATCAAGCAGGGTAGTTAGCGATATGGCAGGAGCCTGTATTTTTGAGATATATATAGCCTCAATGGTGCACATGGTGCTATATATCCTTAATAGCAATAAGTCGCACCACAAAACTACAAAACAAGGATGTAGCCGAAGATCTCATATTATTATCGTCTTTCCTATTCTTCCACGCTTCCCTCTCTTCGGAGGTTGTCACATTCAAATCTTCCTAGGCTAACGACTTTTCTCCATGATCTCTCGAATCACTTGATTTTGATATTCTGGCTGTTCTCCTTCAGAAACCCACTTTCATCATAGTGTATAGTCATGTTCTATTTTTTCCCATAACTCTCAGCCACAAGTTGCAATACTTCCAATTCAAATTTACTTTGCTTTCATAAATCAGTATTAAATTTTGTGAAACATTTGGTGTCTTGGTGAGAGTCACAAATGCTTTTACTCCACGTGTCGTCATAAACGCATACTTAATTCAACACACTTGTTGTTTAAATAAAACAAAAACCGGATGTATTTTGAAAAAAAAATAAACATAAACTCACCGTTGCAACAGCTAAACATCCCAAAGCTGGTGTGAAGAGAGTATTGAAAGAAGATGAACCAACAATTGTCCCCAAGCCCAAGTCCGATTGACTAATAAAAGTACTAACGATATTGACGAAAAATTCTGGTGCTGTTGTTGCCATCGACATGAACGTAGCGGCTGCAACATCCTTAAAAGATAAATGCACAATAGTTAATTAAAAGAAATCAACCAGCAGTTGGAAATGTTACAACAATAATAAACATATACAATAAATAAATCATTTATGTTAATCAAACGCATACGTTTTAACGGTAAAAAAATATGAAATTGTTTAGGACAGGAATTTTACATTAATGCAATGAATAATAGGTAGGTACGAGTAATAAATTTTTTTGAAAACAGAAATATTTTGAAGTGAAACTTCTTTACGCACGGTAGGGTAAGTTCGTTTCATGCGAGTTGCTATGTAACGAAATCATGCAACGGATGTCCGGCCCCCTCTACTCGGCCACGTAGTCGAGTTCGTAGTGGGGATCGCTCGAGCCGTGAGCGCGCTTCAATGCAACGTTCGTTACAGGCAACTCCGG